CTCAAGAGCAGCTGAAGCACCAAATGCAGATTGAAGCGCAGAGCTCAGAAGGAAGGGGCTTTAGGAACGTTGAGACGGGCGTGGCGTCTGTCGTGATTTCACAGAGATGGCTTTGCGAGGCACAGCAGTACGCTGCGTCCGTTGCCTGGAGCGGAGCTGCATAGTTTCAAGTCGCAACAGACCAAAGCACCGGTGCACACAGGAAGTGACAGACAAGGTAAACAAGGTTGATCGTGCTGATGATGATTGCTGATGATGCCCATTCAATCATGACGCAAGCGAAGGTCACTCCAAGAACTTGCCCGCGCAGAAGTTGCACGCAGAGACGCACAGGCCAGCAGGAAAACACCTTCATTTTGGCTAGCGGCTAGCAAAGTCTTCATGGCCAGGTGGCGGCTTTGCAGGAAGCCTTGTCTGCCCAGGCAGTTAGCTGTTTTCCCAGTTTGCAGAACATCAGCTTGATTCCAGCATTTGACACTGGCAGGTTGATTGGTCAAAGTAAACATTTAGTAACTAGTACTCGAACGTCACTGCCTCCATTGCCTGCAAAGAAACTGTAGCTCATTGCTGGGCTGCGTTTGCAGGAAGACATATGTATGCACGCTTTCGCACCACTTGGTATTTATTTACTGTGATACAGATAGGCACTCTCAGCGTTGTTTGCACATGTTTGTGCGTCTTGTGGCTCTTTACAGTGTTTTGATGCTATGTTCCTTTCCATTCAACATTCTGTCCTTTTCCCATCAAGGCATAGAGATATCAAAGGGTGAGTGAACGCTTGCAAAATGCATCCATTCCGCTCCACCCAATTACATATTATCCTAAGTAAGGGCCATGCTAGTACACACAGAAAGGGGAAGCAGAACAAAAGCAATTACATGTTGAGTTGGGGGAGCAATCCATTTGCCGAGCTGGCCTCTTGACTGAGAATTGCCGTTGATGATGCAGCTTTGACATGTTTTAAGACAACTATCGCCCAGCGTGCAGGAGAAGCAAAGTGCAGCCAGGATGGCGCAGGCTGTCCTTTGTCCCCATTTGTTTGAAGGATGTTCAACGTTGGCCTACTTTGCTTGCACTGGCATTTGACTGATCCCCAGCAGATGTCTTGCTACAAGAATATAATGTGATGTGCATAGATGTTTGCATGATTGTCGTGGTCCCCTTAGCCTTCGGTATGTATGTTCTTGTGGCTTACTTGCTTCTTGCATGTAATTACTCTCCACCATATATATATATATATATTGTTAATTTTTCTGTCTGCATTTCCAACCAGCTTCAAGCAGCAGACCTGCAAAAGTAAACCACAATATGACTTTAACATGTGTGACGTGTCTTCACGGTCTTGTATGTTGTTTTACAGTGGAGTGATACTAGCCTCGCTGTTCATTTGTCCAGTTTCTTCGCTGGCGGGGTAGGCCCGCGAAGAGATGGAGCTCATGAATCAGACGCTGGCAGCCAGAGAAGAGAGCGACGCCAAGGCAGTCACGTTCTATGCAGGGCTTTGTTCCACTGTTTTTGGTATCAGGCGAATTCTCCAAATTGATTAATTTCCGGCTTTCGTGATCACAATGTTTAACAAATCGAACTCGCCACAGAATACCACCAAAATGCAAAAGATGGGGCCACCTAAGGACCCGAGAAAACACACCAAGCAAAGCAAATCAGAGCTAGCGAGCGAAAGCTCTTTTCGCATCTGATCGGCAACGTTACCTGCGGTATGTGCAAAAGTGCGGAAGTGATGTCATGTCAATGCCTTTCCGTTCAAAGCAAAACTTTCACATCCCAAGGACAAAATGTTGACTTGAGATCTTACCTCTAGCCGCCCGATGCTCTCTCTGGCCACGTCGGATGTTTGCTCGCCTTTGCTCTTCTTCAGCATCGGCTGCAGTGGAGATTATATAAACAAATCCGGCCACTGGTCTTAAGGGCTTTCAACAAGACATCCTTCATTGACTTCGTGAGGCTGTCGGCGATCTGCTTGAACGTTGGGACCCATCTCAGGCCAACCAACCCTTCTTCAATCATACGTTTGCCCATAAGGAGATCGAATGCTGTCTGGCGCTCTGCGGCCATGTGGCCGGTAGTATGACAGTGATCATACAATGCCTTGGTATCGGTCACTAAAAGTCCTGGTGCAGTCAGCTGGGTTCTCCATTGAGGTCCTTCATGAAATCGTCCATATCGAAGGGCCTCGAAAAGCTATCGATTGTAGAGTTGGTGGTTTGCGGCTCGGCTCAAGTGAATCTCTCCAGCCTGAGCCGTGCCATCCTGCTTCTTACTAAAGCTGCATCGAAGTATTTCACGAAGAGAGGATCGCCTTGCAGTGGCCTGTAGGTCAAACAAGCTTCACCACTATGAGCTGCTAAGTGCATTTCACCGAGCAGGTCATTTGCTTCCTTCGCTTCAGAAGCTGTGGCGGAACTCACGCGCTGAGCCAGTGAGCTGCTTGTAAACTTGTACATATACTCTGGGAAGATGTGTTGTGCTGGCCAGCGCATCTTCATGACTAGCTGCCGGCGTGCAGTCAATGCGGAACCTGTCCTTTGTGAGCTGGAATTGGTATGTTCTGTATTTTCAAGACATATACTTTCATATCGTCCACCATGGTCCTTTTCTCTTGAAAATACATCACCTTCATGCCTAAGTAGTCTATTCCTTCAGGCCCCACAGCTTCCCATTACTTTGTGTTAAACTCACCATCTATTGCCTTCCGAAGTTGCTCAAACTTGGGGTTCTTGGGGTCTCCACAAAGAAAGCCGTCATCAACGTGAAGGCCACAAAAGGCATAGCAAGCTCCCTGATCAACAGCAATGAAGGTGCTTCGGCAGAACGGGATCTCAATCATGCCCACTTTTTGGAGTTCAACGGCTCTGAGGTACCACAATCTTGGTGCCTCGGACAAACCATATGCCCACTTGACCACCCGAAGAAGCTCGAATGGTGCAATGGCCGAACTCACAGATGTTGACGGAAGTCCTTCTTTTGGTGCTTTGACGTGCACAAGTCTGTCGGTGTTCTTTCCGGACAGGAAAGCTGTTGCAACGTCGAAGGCATAATGGATCCAGTTCAGTGTGACACTGATGCTTTTCATCATGCGAATGGCTGTTGGTGTTGTTGTTGGGCTGTCAGAACGATATTCACCCAACCCTGGATGGCCTGGAATGACCACACGCCATTTGGCCTGAAGCTTCTCAGAATCTTTGGACTTGTTCACACGAACGACACGAAGACGGAGTCTAAAAGCTGCTGACTTAGGAACCTTTTTGCTCTCCTCTGGGGACAACCTTCGAACCACCCCGTTCCGAATCCAGGCTTCCCACTCGCTCGCATCGGAGTCCTGGAATGCTTTTGCTTCAGCTTCATTGAACCACTTTGGATCAAGTTCTTTGCCTGAAGCTTTCAATCGCAACAACAAGGCAGTCTTATAGAGGTCCCATTCTTGCTCCTTCTTCAGAAGTTCTTTCCACTCCTCTTCAGCTTCTCGTCCAGTTGGTCTTTGTGCAAGTGTGACTTCACACGTTCCACCTCCAACTTGCACATACTTGTAGGCTTGGTTCTTGGGTTCAGCTTTCTTCTCCTGTCTTTTGGACAGGTCAAACCTCTCCATGCCACTGAACATTTCTTCTTTGGTTTCTTCCTTAAGCTTCCTTTCATCTGCTGGTCTGCCACCATGACTTCCAGCTGCTGAAAGAACTGCTTTCTTACCTTAGCTTCCCCACCTTCATCTTTCTTGAACTGTCTCTTCAAACTGGCGGGAACATCATCGAGAGATCCCTTGAGTCTTCGTTCATCTTCTTTGGCATGTTATTCTTGTTTCCTCACTTCTTGCCAAAACTGTTCTTCATTTGCGTCCTCATCATCTTCTCCTGGATCTTTCAAAGAAGGGGTATATTCTTCTTCCATAGCATCTCTTCCTTCAAACTCTCTTAAATCCCGCTTAGCCTGTTCGATACGATCATAGTCGTCTGGTGTGAGTTTCATCTTGCTGTGATCGTATGCCTGATACTTCATCTTGTAAGGCCGCTCCTTTTGAAGCTTGTTCTGAACCAGCCTCTTCACACTCTTCAGACCTTTCATCATCTGGACGGCCTCTCTTCTTTGTCTTCCTCTGTTCTTTACTGCCTTCATTCCTTTTTCTTGCACTTGCCATCCTCCTTCTTGCATTCTTTCGGGGAAGTCTTTCGCAGTCTGTGTCATATCTTCACAGGATTTATCTTCTCCTTGCATGTTCTATTCCAGCTGCCTGAGCTCTTCAACGTCTACCTCCGTGTTCTCCTCAATCGTTGCTCCCCTCATATTGATGGCTGACAGCAGAAGGCACCTACCACGCCAGGACACAAAGTACTTTTCATGTGACTCTCGTACGATCACAACAGCTGGTCCTCTCCAATCACCAGGATCTTGTCTATATCTTCCTCTTCTGGTGCTTGGAACCCAAAAATAAATCTTCTCTCCTGGTAGGAATTCACGAGTTTGTCCTCTAGGTGTTCGAAGTAAGATCTTCTTGAGTTTCTCTTGGGCTTCTTGGTGGAGTAGTGCTCTCTTAGCCAGAGCTCGCATCTCGGCTTGTCGAGCCACTTCACTGTTTGTTTAAAGCCTGTCCCAGACTCATCGCTGTGGTGGCATCATCATCTAACAGTATCTAACAAGTCTGGCAGGCACATCTGTCAGCCAAAAACCAAGGTGTTTGCACAATGACCACGTCGGCTCACCACTTGGTTCTTTGCCTGTAGTGCGCGCATCAAGGTCGTCTTCATTCCTGGTCGATCCTGTACTTGATGCTCTGCGATCAATGCCTGTACCTTCCATCGATACACTAAAAAGTGCTACAATTCAAAAAACGCTCATTTCAACAAAAAGCGCTACAATCATCCAAAAAACGTACATGTGGATATTTGTATGCCCCACCATGATCCCTTTACAGGTTATCGCATGCACACACACAACATCCTGGTGGAGATCACCGCCAACAGATCTTTTTCTTTGCCCGGCCCGGAGACTCAGCGGCTACAGTTGGTAAAGGAGTGTCGCCATTGGCGCTGGTAGCTCATCAAACTCACTTGGATTGTTCGAAGCGGACATGTTCTGGCATGCTGCCTGCGGCTAGTTCTGGCAACCTTTCCGATGAAATCCTCATCGGACCAACACATCCAAACTGATGGGTTGATGGCAAAACCTGCCGTCAAAAGATCGTGTTCAACTGCTTGCCTTAGATTGCTTGCCAGGAAAGAGATGGGAAGGGTACCTTGCCTAGATAGATATAAGTGGGTTTCCCTCAATACAAAGTTGACCAAGTGCAAACAGCATGCACTATGTGACCCTGCATGTGAACCTTGGGCCGCATTCGGAACAATGCCAAGCCGTTACGGGCAGTCAGGCTGCTGAGGCAAGCATACGACTCCTGAGGTTGATCCAACTAGTACGTCTTATAATCACCACGCTCCACAAGACCTATGGAAAGTTCCCCATCAAAGGACAACTAAAGGTACATATTTGCTAAGCATTTCCAGCTTCCACCATCGCCCAACCAGCAGAAATAGCTTCCTCTGCAGCCGGTCGATGAAGGAACATCCCATTGCTGTAGAGAAGTCGCCAAAACTTGCAGCTAGACTTGTTCATAAGCTTCATGACTTCCACAATGTCGCGATGCAATGGTTCCTGGGTTGTTCCAACATGTTGCAGCAGTTGATCCATATTCAGATCACGATTGAAAAAGTTAATTAAGCCCAAGATCTAGACAAGGGGCCAACGATGCAGTCTCCACCAAGGCCAGCTCTTCTTCGAGCCAGGCCCCCAAGCAGGCCGTGTCGTGTCCTTTTCCTCCCCCACAAGGGAAACACTTCGACCTTCAGGGTTGGGGAGGGCAACCAGTTTGGCTGGGTGATCCGAACGTTAAATCAAACCCCGTAGTAGACAAGGAACCCCTGCTGGATTTTGAAGAGCTTTTTGGAGAATTCAGTGATGGATGTATGCTTCTTGTACTTCGCACAATATGCAGAGAAGCGTTGAAAGGCGGCATCCATCTTCTTCCAAATGGATCCCCCACCAAAGTGGCCAACAGCCATCAGCTCCACAATGATGCTGGCATTCTCATCCTTGCCGTACCCTATGTGATAAGTGTGGGCTGGGTCTGTCCGGATCAGCTTCGTGCAAGACCCACCAGGAAGATCGAATAGAAGGGATCTCTGATTAGCTTTGTAGGGCGAAGGGTTCTCATGGTCAGGTAGCAAATTTCGCAGACCCCCCTCAGGTGAAAGGTCCCACCAATCCTCAGGAAGGCGTATACAATTCCAGAACATAGCCCTTACCGAACCTGAAGACTAGACTATCTTAAGACTATATCTTTCTAACAATATGTGCTATAAATCTGGAAAGAGTCCGGGCATGCGCAGTGGTGGCACTTTCTTTGGACGCGAGCTTGAAAGCCGGTCTTGAGCTTGTAGACCTTCCTGAGGAAAGGCCAATCGCCTTTGACTCCACAAAAAATTGGCCGCAGCTTCACACTAGCCCCATCGATGTTGGCCTCAGCAGTGGCAAAGGCCACCAAATGGATCGAGGTTGGGCCATATGTACACCCCATGAGAAAGCTCCGGGATTAATGGTGTACAACCCGAAACCGGCAATACGCATGCACCCCAGACCATTGAAAAACACACCCCAATGCGTTTGTGGTGAAATGAAACCCAGGAACCTGGAATCCCTCGCGGTACAAGCGGTTCCAATCATCCACCAGCGCATGGATCAATGCATCGAAGGTCTTATCATTCTTGGCATACATAGCTGATGGAACAGCGGCATACAAAAGTCGAGTGCAATAGGTTGATCTGTCAGGGGTGTGAACCATAGGTGCATGCATGGATGCAAATACATCATGCATGAATGCATGGACATGACCACCCAACTGTTTCAAACACCAACCTTTTCATATTTGTTTGGTTGTTGAAGTTCGTGATCAGCGGCTGGAAGCTGAACACCATTATGGGCCGTTTGTATCTACCACGACCTTCGTCCCCATGCAATGCCATTGGCAGGCAATATCGATATTCTGATTCATCAAAATCGTTGAATAGGGGCAAAGATGGGTCCACTTCCCGATAGGCCCGCCACCAGTCGAGTAGGATGTCGGAAAACGCCGCAAAGTCTTCACCACCTGATCCGCCAAGGAAGAAGTGGCCCCCAAGGTCAAAGGAAGTCTCCATCCACTCGGACAGAGGCAGCGTTGGGAAGTCGGTGTTCACCTCGACATACCCTACTGTACCTTTCATAATCTTCCGCACAGGTGTCTTGACGTGAACCACCTTGCAAGGAAGCCTTCTACCAGTTCTGGCAACATAGCGGTGAAGTTGACGGCACGAGTTTGTGGTGCTTGAAGCTAGCGATGAAAGATTGCGATCTGGAATTCCTAAGTAGTACACTCACAAAACCGATGATTCAGGACACGCTGAAAAACAGTCGGTTAGTGCTGCTGGGTTTCCGTGTTTTCTGAACTTCTGGGATAAAAGCCCTGCAAGGCGGGTGGCCCTATAACATGGTACAGAGCCTGCTTCCACCCCAAGCACCAACTCCTCAGCGATGTCCACATCGCTGGGGCCTAGGGCCACAGGTTGGTTGCATGATGAAATTCTCAAACAAATAACAAATGGCACATCAACTTCCCTGCGCATACCCATGAATTTCAGACCCCGATGTGAGCCGAGAAACTCTGAGCGTCATCTTGCTCACTTTCACCTGCCGGACGGGCGCATGGCTAGTTGCATGATGATATATATCATATCGTGAGTCCACGCGCACGCACGCGCAACAATGTCGACCTTTTGGGCATCTAGTTGAGCTCGATCAAAACCTAAAATCGTGGGACATGAGCGGCCGCTGCGAAATGAGCGCTATCCAAATCCAAACAGCTGTTGATCACGGTACTTTTACCAGCTCCAACCGACATGTACTGGTTTTGAGGTTCACTCAACATCCCACAGCCCTATGCCTGCTACATGCGGCCCAAAAACCTACTCTTCTGCATCTTTAGATGCCTTTTTTTGGCGTTTATTGCCCCTGCTTTTGCTTTGGCCTTTGCCCGTTTTTTTGTAGCCGCTTTGCGACTACCACCATGCTCAGACTTGACCTTCTGCTTCTTCACTCCCCTGAGAAGCTGGTAGACTCCCATGAAGCCATGCTTCAAAATCATAAAGGAGTTCTAGATTTCTAGAGTCTAAGTTGGTGGCTTGGCACGGACCACAAAATTGTTGAGGGTCACATCCAACTTGGTGCACTTGGCGTAAAGGCCTTGGAGCTCCGCCTCGAAGTTCCTGCAGATCGGCCAAGTTCGTGAAGAAGGAGGGGTGGTGGACTGGGCTTCATGGGCACGCACACGCAAGCGCTCCTCCCTGGGTCAACCAAGATTTCCCCATGGATGTCCATCATCCTTTTGTGTGTAATTTTCAATTGCGCAACAACTTGATCGATTTGATCTGCCAGCCTAGGCTGATTGAGTTCATGTATCCACGCGCATATCGTTGAAGCTAGGTTCTGGTGAAGCATATTGCATTCAAGAAGCTCAGTGGACCGGCTTGGGTCGATCCCATGAAGGTTGTCCTTGATATTTTTATAAATAAATACATATATATCATATACAAACGCACGATATGCTGCAGGCAAACCGTTCGCTGCACGCCGGGTCACTAAGATCCTCTGCGTGTTGTCCAGTTTGCGGGTGCAAACTGACACAAAAGAAGGTAGCAACGAGGTTTGAGACGCATTCTGCTTCAGACTTGGGTAGCATAGCCTGAGCTTGCAACACGTGACCAGGACTACCGACTACCGGGGTGTGTCAAGGAACCCAAAAACTGAATCAAGAAACTTGAAGGAAGATGAATCAGCCCTGACAGATTGATTCCTGTCACCGTCTGGATCCTCAGCCTGGGTCTTGTCAATCATAAAGTCGGTTAGGCTGCCTGAGTTGGCCTGCATCGATGGCACGAAGTTGGAATCAAGCAGAGCAGCATCTTCGTCCTCCAATCACCGGGGCTATTGGCTAATTGGCTGATACATGGCAAAGAGCTAGCAGTTTCAAATATCCAATCGACACCGATATTAGACATGGTGGAAACACTCCTCCAGCGTAAAGTCAGCATGCATTTCCATGTTCTCACCGTACTCTGTAGAGAACATGAACTCATCGTCCAATACAAGAGCTATCTCTTCCTCCCCGTGCACAGCATTGCGACGTTTCTTGTGGTGCTTTTCAGCCCACTCAAATGCATTGTCTGCCATGCGCCTCAGGATTGATAAACAAAATGCAACTAGTGTGAGAAAACCCCGGGTCTATGATATGTCAAATTAATTGAGATGAGGCACTTGGTCCAGTGCCTTTCTGCCATCAACCAAACACGTGTATACCAACCTCCTTTCTTCTCAAACCTGACCTTCTTTTCATGCCACCTCTTAATCGAAACCTCAACTTGCTTCCACTCGCCGTGTTTCAAGAGGAGCGCCTTTAGCTTGGCACCTCAGAATCGAACAATCGCATATATACATGCACCCACACCAAAACAGGTTAGGAAGCCAGTCTTGGTACATGGAAAATTGTTCTTTGGTGGTTCAACCAAGGCACGCCCCTCATCAGATTGATACAAATCTAAGGCCTCCTTCGAACACTTGGGTGATCCATCGGCTTTCGGCTTGAAGTATCGATACATCCTGGGCCAGTAGTAAAAAGAATTCATACATAATGTGGTGCAATGCGCGTTTCCATCAACAAGACCTATATGCAACCCAGCGTACTTCCAGTAGAGATTTGGAGGTTCTGGTGGTGGCATGTTGTTCTTGTCAGCCTGGTCCCCGCCACGTGTAGCCCGACTTGCGTCACCAGTTGCAGGAGCAGTGGCCTCGAGTGGCACGTCTTCCTGCTTAGAGGCTGGCGTCGCCGGCACGATATCTTGAGGAAGCAGCCAGGGGATCGAGTTCGAGTGGTGATGGGGATAGGCCTTGTTGGTTGTCAGGCCATTTCTCCGCGTTTTCAACCAAGGACCGCAGGGATGTAGGTGTGCTTCCAATATCGGTTCACGTTGAACTCTCCACGGAAACAGCCTTTTCAAGCAACTCCTGAGTCAGCGGTTTCTGATCAGTACCAGCCACAAAGCGCCCATCTTGACGGGCAGTATATGGAGCTCCTGCACGACAAACAGTACGGGTCCAAATCCCAGGTATATATATATATATATTGTGGGATGATATATGCACCGGCAGGTGGGCCTGGCGGGTGAACCTCCGGAATTTGCATGCTTCGGTCCAACTCAAGCGTAGCCAAACGTTCACGGGCAGCACGGATGCGTTCTTGGGATGCCTTATATGCCGGGTTGATATATGCAACATGACATGTATTGCATGATTGCATGCAACACTATAAACTTGCTCGCTCATATTTGTCAAAGTGCTCGTATCAAATCATCGATACTTGGTGCAGGTTGTTCACCCCCGTCACCCGCCATAGCAAGACCGGCAACCAAAGTTGAGCAGGAATGGTTCCCTTGCAAAACGGTCTCTGAAGACATCTTGAACCTGGCCTGCAAAAGCTACCTAGTCAAAGACAAATGGTGCTTGGTTGAAAACCGCACTTCATGGTTGCTAGTATATCTATAAAGCTGCAGCGGCGCCCATGTGTTCGCCCTACCACAATATTTTGTGGTTCCAGCGTGCATCTAGCGTGGGAGGATGGCCACGTGGGAATCTTGTTAACCCCCAAACTTACAGATGAATCCCAAAAGTTGTTTTAAGGGTTGACAAAATTCTACTTCGTACACTTTTTGAAATTGCGCCCCGATTGCGCGAATTTGCGCCCTGTTTGCGGGAAATTGCGCCCCGATTGCGGGTAGCCATTTTCACCAAACTCTATCAAAGTTGGGTCCGTGCAGGTTTGTCACTGCTTGTTGGGTCGTGGTGGCATCCTCCCCGTCAATTAAGCATGTTGGATGGCATTTCTCCAACCATCAGTGGAAATCTAAATGCAGCCGGGACTTTCCAGGACTGCCTCGATCTTCTTCACCTGAGCAGGGTGGTGGATGACAGCCCCCGAGCACATATGCCAGTTCAAACATGCACATGTGGCCCAACCTCTGCAAATAGCTCACTCCGAAAAGATAAAATTGTTTGGGCCCAAGTAGGCGGTATCCTGCAAACAGATTTCCCATCACCAGTTCCCACAACAAATCCAAAGAACCAAGTCGGAAACCTCTGTCCTGAGATGTTTGCTCGTGAGGAGGTAGTCTATGACCACATGGCATTGGGACTCAATCCAAATGTCCCCCAATGGTAGGTCTTCAAAGAGTTCCCTGTCACTCTTTGTCAAGTCCAACCTTGGCCTCGTGCGCAGGTCCCACCTGGTCTCCAGCCTTCCCTTCTCGTACGCTTGAAGGAGTCGTTGGCCAAATTCTCGGGTGTAGGACCTGGATGTGGCAAGGCTGGCAGCTAGGCAACTAAGAAAATCCGAGGTTCCAACTGGGTGCTTTTGAGGAATCTTGTCCCCTGGTATCGCTCATAGCCTTGTTGGTCCACATACTTACCTTACATGGCACAATGGCACCATTCAATCCCACATATGCATTTGTAAGATCTATCAATGAAGGGTGCCAAGTTACGGCAAGTCTCAACATGATCGAACAAAGCCTTTTGAGCTTTGGTAAGCGGACCCATGTCCAACATTGAGATTGATCTCATGTTGCTCAGCATCATGGTTGGTTTCGGAGAAAACTTTCCATAGTGCATCATGTAGCAATGGGAAGCGTAGACCTGGTAGGGATCAAGCAGTCGAGCACCAATAAAAGTGATATCGATACATACTCAGATACATGCTTTCAGAATTACAAGCTAGCGGCATAGCATACTCGGTTCATAAGCCATTCCATCCGCTTGTGCCGCGGCAGCAAGCTTTGCGCTGGCTGCTCCAGAGCAAAGATACCGTTATTCGCCAAAATAAGAAGTAATAACAGCACACACCTCAATAGTGACCGACAGCTACCCGAATGGATGTCCCATGAATTTGAGGTGGCGTACATGCATTATATAAAGTGTACACTATCTTTCGAGATTTGCAACCAGGGAACCTCGAAACCATTCTGTTTCCAAATGAAACAGCATTATACTCTTGGTGCCCCATTGGGTTGATGAAGCTTCTGTGCGTGCTCCCTCGAGAAACTGCAGACCATGACCCGCACACCGGCGCCAGGAGGTTGAAAGCATTTATCACCTGGTTCAAGATCAGGTGCATGCACATCCTGGGTGGCTGGCGAAACCATTCGCCCCCAAAACGGAGCCCTGTTTGATGGTTTGGAGCTCTAGGGCAAATGGTTTTGGCCATGGGGAAGAATCCCACAATCGACATCATTGAGCCAAAAAACAAGAAGCATCCGCTTTTCTCAAAATCCATGGATTCACCATAACTCAGGTCCACTTTGCAACATCGGTATCCTTGTTCGGTCCTCGGTTCCGTTGAGGACAGGTATGGACAGGTGGCTTATATACCACAGGTGGATCATAGAGACGCAGCTGGGTCACCAAAACTTTGTTACCTCTGCATCTCCGGCAAAAAATTCGATGAAGTCTATTTTGCCACCCTCCAGGAACTCCAAGTTGGTTTGCCACTTGAGCAGAAGAACCTAACTAAAAGACACGAAGCTGGCCACAGCACGCAAGGTTCTCATGGGAAAGGCCCGGGCCATTGCAATCAGAACCTGGGCTCCAGTTGAATCATGCAATAGCTCTATCAAGGATGACTCCAGCAACTTAATGATATGCGTTAACTAGATCGAGTCACTTTTGGAGCTTGGACTTGAAGTAGGCGAACAACCATGGATGATTCCATGGCTGCAACCCAACCACCTAACTGGAACCCAAAGTGCTTTACGAGAAGCATGCCTTGCAAAAAAGCTGCATGCATCTTAAAGATCACGACATCCGACATCACCCCAGCACCCGCACCACGAAGCCCGATTCCAGGCCTTCTGAATCACAACGGGTGAGCCACGCGTCGATGGCAGGCATATCCGCCTGGTCATGGGATCACTGCGGTGGAGAACAAGTCAGTGGAGAGAGTGCTACCAAGAGAGGTCAAGAGGACACACAATTGATGCGGTGGAAAACAGATTCGTGTCCTCTTGACCTCTCCTGGTAGGTGTTTTTGATAGATCAAGCTGCATGTTTATTATACAATACAGAGTCACCATGCGAGCTGCAGCAAGCATTTTACCAATTTCCAGCTAGGATCTTGATCTGGATACGATCACCCAGCGACGGCGTTCCCAATTTCTGCAATTAATGCCCCAAATACCCTGTGGCCAGGACCACAGAGTGAAAACACGTTGCAGGTGTACAGCTTTCAGCTGTATGCCCCTTGCTGAAAAATGTGCAAATGCACAAGCCCTGTAAACCATCACTTCGTTGCTGCGTATGCCTCAGTTACCCAGGAACAGAGTAATGTCTGATCACCACAACCGTTTCTATGTTGCAACCAATGAACTTCCTTTGCCCTTTTTCTGGCTTCAATCTCCCCATGAAGCTCAAGGTTCTGCTTGTAGGCTTTGCCATAGGCGCAGCACTTGCGGCTGCGCAAGGCTGCTGCTGCTGCTTTAGCGGGGTCTGTGCTCTTGACTGTTCTGTTGGGTTTTGCCTTTCCTTTCTTGGCATCACCTTCCTTGCCCTTTGCCTCCTTTGATTCTTTCTCCTCCCCAGCTTCTTCCTCCTTCTCCTTTTTTGCCTTTCGTGCCCTCTTAGGCTTAATCTCCTGATCTTCCTCCCCAGCTTCTTCCTCC